ATGGCCGAGCGCAGAAAAGGATAGAGAGAAAATCGAGGTGGGTCCCCGGAGAAGGGTCCACGAGACCACCATCGCCTTATTTATAACGCTGGGGGTAACCGAATTTACGATCAAAATCCCGCGTTTCGCGGCATTGATGGATCGCCGCGGCCATGCGCCGCTTTGCGGCGGCGATGGTATTTTCAAATGAACCCACCCTTTTTCCTCGTGAGACCCGCCAACGGCCAGGAAGACTTCCACCACCGCGTGCCGTCATAGAATTCTATCGGGCTTCGCGACATCGGCCTGTCGGTCCGATTTCGTATACAGCTGTCTCCCGTCCCGATGGCCCGCGGAACGTTCGGCGATTCGCAACAATGAGATGTAGAAATATGTGTTACCGTTACATCGATTTATTCGTTTCGGCTGCTTTGCCATTCAGCCTTCCGCTTCAATGATTCAATAAATTAACAAGTTTAAACTCGTAACGCTCTGCCCCTTGGCACAGCGACTACTTTCGAGATTTGGAGATTGTCTATGAAAGGTTCCACGGAACGCCTATTTTTATCCGACGAACGAGTATTCGTAAATGTACCGAAAACAAATCTGATCGTAAGTTTTGTTCGTTTTTTTATGGTACTTTCGGTTGAGAGTCTTTCAGAAGTTTCTATACGAAATTCGATTTATAGGATTCTGCATGCTGAAGCAGGAGTAGAGAATTGATTGTTGAATAGGTCATATTTCTTTAAAATGCAGAAGTTACGGGGGCCTTACAGTATAAGGAAGCTAATGATAATTTTAGGTAAAAATTATAGGCGTTCATGTATGAAAGTTGCTGTAAGGGGATGGTAACGTGATAAACTCGCTAGGATCAGATTTTACTGATTTGGCTCGTAAAAGAACCGATCCACAATGAAATTATTGTTACAGATTGCTGGGTCGAGGTTCCATGCACGTGTTTTCCTCGGAACAATTTCAAAAGATGATGGATGCGAGTGGCTTTACAGGACCGTGGACCTCTTTAGTGGACTTAGGAGCGGGCGATGGTGCTACAACCTCGCATGTCGCACACCTCTTCGAAAAAGTTTATGCTACAGACATATCAGCGCCAATGAGATGGGCATTGGCGAAACGAAAATTTACGTGAGTCTCGTTTTTTTATCTTTCAGCGTGAAATGAAACCAAAGAAGAGAACGCAAGTTTCTGTCTGCATTTGGAAGACAGATCTTCAAACGTTTGCATCACCTTACCATGAATTTATAGAATTCCTTAAATTCGAATTATAAGGTACCAAATGCCATTTTAACTATTACATAAGAAATTCTAAATTTAAAGGGCCATTTTGAGTCTCATCAGTTCTACATACAACAACTTATACATTAAACGCTAACCCCGAAAGATTATCTGTTAAAATCCTTAATAATCTCTTCACGTGTAGATCATCGTTCGATACAAAAACGTTCCACGTTTCTTAGGTCCAAGATTGGTCACTTTCGATGTCCAATATTCAACGTTGCCCTCAAATATCAGGATCCAGAGATCATGCAAACACGAAATCCACGTTCACGTTACCTTTGTTTTTCAGGGTGCTCGACGTAGAAAAATGGCACGAATCCGGGCCATTCAACGTGATACTCTGCCTGAATCTGTTGGATCGTTGCGACCGGCCAAACACGCTGCTGCGACGCCTGAAAAAGTCTCTAACTTCCGGCGGACGTCTAGTGGTAGCTCTAGTTCTTCCGTTCAGCCCGTACGTGGAAGTCGGGGAAAGGGGTGATCACAAACCGTCGGAATATTTGCCGGTTAAGGGGAACGGTTTAGAGGGTCAGATCGCCAGCCTGGTCGACAGAGTATTCGCCCCGCTCGGCTTGAAGTGCATCGCATGGAGCAAGCTGCCGTACCTTTGCGAAGGCGACCTCGGTCAGGCGTATTATTTTCTGGACGACGTGGTCTTCATTCTAGAGGCGCAGCCCGATAGCGCACAACCCAGTGAATAACCAATGCAGCTTTACCTCATTAGCGTCGCACGACTCGAGACAGCCAGCGAGACGATACGGAGCAGAGAAGTGACTTTTCGTCCTCATTGACCGGTTACCGAGCGAACGAAAAAGTGCAGCGTGAACGGGAACACTTATTTTACTGGACGCACGGCATAGTTCCCCCTACCAGAAAAACTATGTCGCGCGTCTATTGCTTAGTCACGCTTAAGAGCCCACTCATTTTTGTTCTATTTCCTTCGCTCGTAGCTGCTTCGCTTTTTTGAAAAGTTGATCACTGCTAGACGTAGTAGAGGTAATGGCCGGCGACGAGGTTCACCAAAGAGTGACGCTAAAAAGGTAACACTGTAGTCCAGTGATTCCCAACCTTCACTCACTTTGCATACCACTCGACGAATTGTTTATCTAAGTTTCTCAAGTTAACAAGACATTTGTATTATTACTATTATTATTATTATTATCATTATTATTATTATTATTATTATTATTATTATTATTATTAATACGGTTGCTGTTGTTTGAAACTGCTATGTCGCAACTGCGAATGAATGATTCAACAATAGGATTAAAGGATACAGTCAGTTGAAGTTAATATTTAATTAACACGCGAAATGCATCACGTTGGTTAATGTATTGAATCTTTTACGTTTAACTTATTAATACACGGAATCTTTAATATACGTTGATATTTATGACACGCGCAACAAATGTTCAATGCGAGATACAGACAGAAATCAGGAACTCCATTCGGTATACCGTATTTATTTCCAATGAAGGTATAAGAAATGACATCCCTCTCCGGCATTGTTCTGTATTCGTGAGTGACAACAGAAACTTAAGTTCAATAAATTAATAAGTTAAAGTCCGTTCTACCTTTTTCCATTGTTACATAATGTTTGTCGCATACCTCAGGTTGGGAACCACTGTCGCGGTGTCGATAGCTTTTCGAAGGTCTCGCACGTTCGAGGATTTTAGGATAACTTCGCGATACTCCCGCTTCCGAGTGGACGGACACCGGTTGCTGGATGGGGACAAAGGCGACGGCCGACATAATACAACGTACACACAAACGCCGCGCACAGGCAAGTCACACTTGTAAAAACTTTTAATGATTGCTGTCATGAATGAGAATTATGCGAGAATACAGAAGAGCAATACTGGCAAGCGACAACGAGCTTAATTTGCAGATACAGCGGTTTAGCGTCTTGGTGTATCATATCGTTAACTGATTGCTCATTCGTTTAAGCGATGAATGAACAACAAACGGTGCACATTTTACAACCATCATACTGTCAGTGTCAGTGCAGAAAACATGTACACGATCTGCGGTATAAATACGACGCGAGAGCAATGAAACTCGGAAACGTATTCTGAACGATCTACATTTGACCTCGCACCGTTCTACTTAGTTTGGTTTCTTTCTTTTTTTTTTACTTTTTTTCAGTTCGACCCCCCCGCGCTTGGCTTTTGTACCATTTGTCAGAGTCAGTTTCCGTGCTCCCTCATCTTAATATCTTTCGCATTTACAGAGTTGTTCCGTTTAATAACGTTGACCACCTGAGATACCTCTGTGTCATGACAAATCGGAAAACAATCTTGGAGAAGCTACAGTTCATCTTTGTAGATCGCTACGTATTCCGTCAACACTTTGAGACTGTAAGTATTTCATTAACCCTTCAGATAGGACTGAGCTTGCTGCGCAGCTACATCGATCCATGGGGAACTCCGAGCGCTGGCAGGATTGCTTCCGCTGCTTCACAGCGAAATGTACTTGTACTGAATAGTGTATTAAATATTTGTTATTGCTGGAGAAGCGTCCAATCTTTTTCAATGCAGTACATAAATTAGAACCATTATAATCACATCTTAACTCGTTTAGGCTATCTGGTACCATTTGAAGACATTCAATGATTAGGGTGAAAGATAAATTGAAGGAATGTTACTTTCAATCGAAGCTAAAGGGTTAAACATAGTAACAATTTTTCGTTGCTTCGTCAAATCAAATATCCATTTCGAGTACAAACGATATCGTCGTTGGACGTTTTCCAAGTGTCATTCGAAGTGAACGAGATATTTCATTTGGTCGAACGATGGGAAACCGCTTGCACGCAGCGACTTAGTCATAGATATGCTTAATCGCGCCGATACTTCGACAGCGAGGCGAACGTTAATACGCTCGCGATAATTTTACATAGCTACTAGAGGAAATAAGTCTGTTTAGTTGCTGTAAATACACTTTGGTGTGTAACTGGTAATCGTGAAATCACTAGACGATACTGCTTTAGACCTTATTACCAAATTACATTAAACGATCAAAAAAAAAACACGGAGCGTACAGGACTCAAATTTCTCCGAGGTTTCGGATGGTGTGCCGAGTAATTCAGTTGATACAGAAGATCCCACATGCAAGAGAGAAGCACGAAATCAATGTGTTAAATACCTGTGTAGTTTCGTTCGTGGTTACCAAGCATAATCCAGCCTGAAGATACAAAATGAAACAATGCACTTCGTGTAAGTTCAACAAATGTCGCTATTCGAAATTCCGTTCGACCGTAGACATCGATTAATTTTACCACAAAT